TCTATTGGTTATCTTTTTATAGATCTGTCAAGTTCGACTATCGAAAAATTCGCGTAACCTGTTACGTTAAAGGCCGCCACGAGGAAAGTATTTAAAATATAGGAATTCGCCGACACGCTTTTGTTCCATATCTACCAGTGAATGTTCTGACCAAATTTCATGAAAAATCCGTCAAATCTGTATACCCTATTAATTCATTTAAAGAGAAGGGATTCTCTCGAAAAACGAGTGCGAGCTTTCGCCTTCTAAAGATTTGTAAACGTATCACGCCTTCACAGAGGAATGTGTCAACTTGAAATCTGCGAGCCAATGAAACAACAGAACCCCTAGCGTTCACAGTATGCTTCGCGGACATTAATTTTCTTGACCAAAAAAAAATCGACCAATATAGCCCCGCGAAGGTTTGAAGTAACCTTAAGCAGTTCGTTTGTATCATCGAAAAATAACCCCCATTATATGCAAAGTAGTCTAAAATTCATTGCTCAAAGGAAGAGAGCATTACTCTGGGCTGTTTCGCCTAGAAAGGTACAGAACATCAACGTGCAAACTAAAACTGACTTGATCATGGAGGTAGATAAAACTTTCCCCAGCTCCATAATTGAAACTACTGGGATTGCTAAAGAATCACTAACGGAGAGCTAAACATAGATCACTGATCACATATTGAAGGAAAAAATTGTCCTACCATCATCACTTCAAAGCTTAAGAGGGCTAATTTAGTTCAGAAAGGAAACGTTTTCATGTTTCATTAAGGAAAGTACATTGTATTAAGATCAACAGTACCAAATGGAAGTGGAATAATGAATCAATTGAGTATCAGCCAGAGAAGGAAACGAAAAAGAATGGAAGATAAGATGCAAGGGGGACTGGGAGAGATTAAAATCTGCTCAAGTTCATGAAATATATAATATGTCTAGTCCAGAGACGGGCAAAACAAAGTCCACTAAACAGAGCTATGTTGAACACTGTTTTTTGCTTCTAATCTTTTCTCGCTTATTCGGTTATATTCATCAGTGCGCTGGTGTTCGTGAAAATGAAGGCCAACATGGGTCAGAACCACATTCTTCCTCGAAAAATGGAAAATGTATCAAAATATTCAGGAGCAGAGAATTTAAATTTTGACCTGGCGAATGGGTATTTACTATACCCCTCACACTTATTGAAGTGTGCTACAAGAGAACACGGCAAAGCAGACAGTAACAGCTGAAAATACGCAAACTAGCGAAGAACAAAATGCATCTAGCGGTGGACTCATTATTTCCAACACAATCGAATCATGCAACTCTTTGCAATGGTTTCATAAACTATTAAAAGCCTGAATTTTTCTACTTACCATTGGCAGCCCAGCTCCATCAATCGTCGTGACTCCAGGAATAGAAAAGTCTGCCATTTCATTGTTTAAAATAATCCCATTCTTTGTCATGATTCCTGAGCCAAAGTACTCATTGATTGTGCTAGAGGAGAAAAGTGCACACAATAACGATGAGGTTTCATCAACAAACTTTAGAAATTATTGCATGAGATGACCGCGAGATCTTGAGGCTTTTGTAACTCGAAGGTAATTTTGTTCGCGATAAAAGAAGGGCACTTGATAGACTAAGTTAAACAAAACTGACTCTTACCTGGTGACGCTTACAAGTTCACCATCAGGTCCAATAACTGACACATGCGCAGTGCCATGAGACTCCGCTTGGCTCAGATAAGGTCCGTAGTAAGATGGCTCAAAAGTTTTGTCAGGAGAGATTTTCTTTCTGAGAGTTTTTGCATGTTCCTTGCTGAAAGAAAACAGTGGACATGATTTCTTTGATATTGCCTTCAAGACCAAGAAATCTTTGATAAGTTATCCATAGTAACGATGCAGGTTTCTCTCTTTGGTACATGATTTGTTATTCAACGTGGAAATCATTCCGTTCACTTACCCTCCCCTCCGCCACTATTTTTTTTTTTTAGTTTTATTTAGTTGTATCTTTTTTCAGACTTGTCATCATAAGACAAGTGCTGGTAAAACAAAACACTGTGCATGGTTTATAGCGGCCACCATTGCTAACGGAGAATCCTTGCAGAATGGACAAAATTGGTGGATTTTTTTCAAACATCATTTTCATACGTGTGCCACGTAAACGTGGTGACCGGTCAGATATCTATATTTTTCCCCCGGTTTCTCAGCTGGTACAAGTAGTCAGAGCCTCACATAAACATGGTGACTGGTCAGATATCTATATTTGCCCCCGGTTTTCCAGCTGCAACGGGAAGTCATAGCGTCTGTATAAGCCATTAACAAGTGAATGCACAGTTACCTTAACATTTGCGTTGTGATGTTCTTCAGGTTATCACTATCCTCAAGCAGGGACCTCTGAGCAAAAGCAAATTTCATAGCCTGGGAAGAAAGAATGAAATTCAGGTTTGACAGAGAGAGAGAAAAAAAACTATTCATAGATTTATGCTACAGGTGCAAGAGGCCCTATCAAAGCAGTTAATCCTGCGAGAAAATGCGATGGACTAACTACAGTACACACTGAATAAGGGGGCTCTTCTAAAACAATTAGTCAACAAAGAATTCTCAGAGACACGGTGGGAGGGTCACAGAGTGAAAGCAAGGAGAATGAGTGCAAGTATCTTGTGAAATATTGTAAGAAATTCTGACAAGAAATGACTGGTGACGTCACAGTCCGAACACTAGTCAGTAATTCTTGATTGGTTGAATTCTAAAAAATTTACATCGTGGCTAGGTGTTATTCTGAATTTATTTCAGCGGGAATCTAATTCAAGGCTCGACACTAACGATTGCCAACCAGTCACAGACTAGTAGAAGTTTAGTAATGGCTAGGAGATTTCTACTAGCCACTTTGGCTAGTAAACAAAATGAAATCGGCCGAACTAGTTTCTTTCTTCCTCAGGGAAGACAAACACAAACACTTTTTCTCAGAAACAGGGTCAGAATGTCATTGTGCACGTATCATGTTACCGGCCATGTGCTGCTCAGCACGTATGCAAATTTAGGTTTGTCTACTTCTCGCTGTGTGGTACATAAACAGGCAAATGAACATGTTATTATGTTGAAACAAATACTTGACAAACAAGACAGCCTTTTCCGAAAGCACACATCGACGTTCTTTTTTGTTACGAAATGAGTAGAACAAAACAAGAGCTTCCTGAAAAAATCACGTGCAAAGTAGTGCGGAACTGTAAAGGGATAACATTTGATTTAGCGCAACGACACATGGTTGATTTGTCGTCGTAAGCATAATGACAAAACTTACCACTACAGAAATAATTAGATGAGAAAGATTTATTTTCTTCCACATTTAAATCAGCGGTTTTTTAGCAGTCGAATTTCGCCAACGACAGTTTACAGTATTCTCCAGATAGTTGTTTTGCTTTTGTAACATTTCTAAGGTGCCTGTCTGTGAAGAAGTCTCGACAGTTCTTACAGCCCGCGGGGGGGGGNGGTCACTCCCTTATATCGGCTGTATAGTTATGTGCGGCCACAAAGGGTATGGTTTTTCGGCCGTTTTGGTCATAATTAGGGTATCGATTTTAGCCTAGTTAGGCCATTTTGGTCATAAATAGGGTATGGTTTTTGCACTCTAGCCTTGATATGGGTATGGTTTAAAGAAGAAGCCACTTTTTCCTCATTATCGGAAAAAAAAAAAATTAACAAAAGCCCTTCTCAAATTATGTTTACGGTAATTTAACATTGGTCTGAACTAGGAAACTAATTATAACGTAGGTGTGAAACAGGGTTTTGATTTAATGGTCAGGTCATAAATACGGTATCGAATATTTGGTTAGGTCATAAATAGGGTAGAGAATATCTCAGATTTTGGTCATAAATAGGTTACGGGTTTTGGGAAGCGGGCCGCACACCCCATCCAACTTTTCTGGAAGTAGCCTCCCCTCCACTGGGGTTTTACAGTGACGTCTCGAGGGTCTCGATGTTTTTCCAAGGAAGTCTGAGAGAAAAACAGAGTTCTGAAAGTCTTTTCGGGAAAATCGCTGGTCGGATTTTTCTTTCTTTGTGATCTGTCGGCCTGAGAGATTTGATTTGACAAACTATGTATTAGAGTGAGTCGCTTGGGTTGTGCTTTCAAGTCTTGCTAGTAACTCTGCTGTTGTTGGGCCTAGCCAACATCAATGCTTGGCTGGTGAAAAAAAAAATTGGCTAGTAATATCTAAGTTGTGACTAGCCCCTTAGCTAGTAAGTTGAAAAGTTACTGTGGAGCCCTGATTACCCACCTCTAAAATATAGTGATAAGTAAGGCTTTTCCCCTGGTCTTTGTCTGTAAAGTTAAAACCTTCCAGAATATTCAACATTGAAACAAGCACTGGTCCACCTGAAGGCAAAGGAGTTGTAATCACTTGGTAACCTAAAACACAAAAAAAGACGAAAGAAAAGTTCTGTAAGGTGACTGGCAACAGTTTCCAGCACTTTCCCAACAGCTATGCTTCGATGGATCAAGACTATCACTCTTTATCAAGTAATTGAGGCCGCAGCCAGTGAGCCTGAAGCGAACGAACGAGGCAGCTCTCTAACCGGGAAAAAATCACATTGTAGGGGCCTTGAACACGTTTGTGCGAAACGCAAGGAATTGTGCAGCGGTAAGATCAAAGGCGCAAGGAATTGTGGTTACGCGCGAATGGCAGAATTAAGATGCGCAGTCTGATCTTGCACTCTATCTCTTGCATCATTGGTCGCAGTGTACGAAGGTGAGTGACAGTTTTCTGCTGTGTATATTGCTATTTTTGACGTTCCTTTTAGTGTTCCTGTTTTCCTTTATAAACTTTTCTTTGTAAAATTAGTCTTTTCTGTATTAGGCAGTCTCTATTAAGATGCGCTGTTTTCCATGCGCTCNACTTGAATGCCTTGTGGCCCAAGACCACGTGGAATCCTGGCGCATGCGCACATCTAAACGCCGCTGACTGCAAAGGCAAGACTTGCGCTCCTTGTTTTTAACTCTGTTAAATTGCATTTAACTGCATATAAAATATCAACTAATTCAAACTTATGACATGTACAGTTTTTTCACTAGTAATTAAAGTTCTGCAAAAGCACTTAATTGAGAAAGCACAAGAATAGAACATACTGCAGCAACAATGCCATCAGCTATGGGTCCACTATACAAGACATCAGCCCCTTTGTCTGCAATCTGCTGCAATGTTTCAGCCAGAGCTGGATTACTCATTTTGTCGCCTTCCTACAAATTGGAGTAAGGAAGTTAAAACGTTCTTAGTTATTCAATATTAATAACTATCTGGAGAGTAATCAATAAATATCAAATATAAAACACAAATACTATAAGATTCAGTAATGCTTCTGCAAATCTTTTGAGAGCTTAAATTAAGTTTGAATTTTGTTTCATGAATTGCCTAGTTCCTAGGCTTTACTATTTTGCCGCGGTCAATCATTTCGGGTCACGTGGTCTGGGGCAAAAAGTGTGGCCTAGGCAAAAACCTGAAAATTGAGACAATTTGCCTCAATTTTTGACTGGGCCAGTTTCATCTCGCAGAAGGGAATTCTCTGGGCATTTCTGAGACAGTGACTGCTAGAAGAAAGCAATTTAAACTCTTTGCTTTTATTTTAACATTAACTGGTCTAGTTAAATGGCTCATTTGGATCCAAACAGACATTAACAAGTCAGAAGCATGGCTGCTTTCAAACCACAGGCAAATACTGATTACTCAAAATATTTCTAAGTATTTGAAGGTTTTTATTACATGTGACTGTAGCGCCTGATCAAAAAAAGTGAAAATATACCAATATTTCTTAAATTTCGCTTTCAAGAGTAGCTTTCTAAGTTAATTATTTAACTATAGTTTGACCGCTACGCAATAAGCAAGAATTCGCTTGCAGCACTGTCTTGTAACCAACAAGTTTTATGGTAGTTTTACAACTACCTTATGAAATTAAACTCAACCTTGCATGTAATTTTTTTACATACATTTCTGTTCGAACCACTGAACCAAAGGTTTATTTACTGGACAACGACTACAGCAACCTTTTCCAGAATTCTCTTTAATTTAAGGAGATAAAAAGAAACCAAAAGTCAAATCATCCCGGCCTTGGACTTTGTACTCAGATAGCAAAGCAGCGACACAATTATTATTTCATCATGAAAAATGCTGTTAGAACTTAACTCCATGAAACACAGATATTTCAACAGATTTCTTTAAAGTCAAATTCACATAAGAGTGATATATTCTTCCAGTTTTCAGTTCAACAGTGTCAGAACAAAAACACATTCTGTAGTTAAACAGAATTTATAGCTAGGCCACAACCTGTTAGCATTCAAAACTTGATACAATTGGTTGCTTAGACTTCCAGTTGAAGTTTATGTTGAATAAAAAAGTTTGCACAAGCATAATTATAATAGCTCTAGCCATAAGTTTTACATGTAAGAAATTGGCTTTTCTGTACAAAATTGCTCAAACTTGCTAATTAGGAATTTCGTAGGAATTTCCCATTCCTACAAGTTGCAAAAATCAGCATCTTCTCCGACTGAGTTATTTGGTGAGAATGNGAGCCAAACACGCTCCAAACTCCGAGAGTGACAGCAGGGAAGATAGTGAAGTGGAAAACTGCTTGGAAGGATGCAAAGTCAGTTGCAGGTTTTTCTCCTTCCTGCCTTTTTCGGGTCAGATGGAATGACATCACATTAACACGGCTTAGCTGCCAAGTACACTTTCAAAATGGCAGCCTCCAAAGTCGCTTCTTTCGAGACGAATTCTTCAGTATAGCAGGCACTTCAGAGGCTGAACCTTTGGTGAGTGAAAAAGCTGAGTGTTTTCTTGCTATAGGCAAAGGCAAAATTTAGATACTAAGCTTTTTGCAGTGACCTTCTCCTTTAATATCTTAATGTTATTGAAAATCACTTCACAAAAAGTACTCCATTTCTAAAGATGGAAAAATCCTTTTTTCTTTTTCTTTAAACTTTCTTTACCTCCTTTTTTCTTTGAAAACATCACCCTTGTCTTGAGTAAATACATGTACTAAGTTGGATTTCGAGCAGAATTGCACTCAAGTTGATAATTTATAGTACTCATCTGTTCTTTGTAGACATGCAATGTATTTAGATCTACTACTACATAATTGTGTAAATTCAATAAATTATATTAAACAAATCACTGCAATTCATCACTGACACTTACCTTCCATGTTTCTTGTGAGCTACCTNCACTCTGGGTTATGGCTGCTCTTGAGCAGTATTATTTTGAGCCAAACACGCTCCAAACTCCGAGAGTGACAGCAGGGAAGATAGTGAAGTGGAAAACTGCTTGGAAGGATGCAAAGTCAGTTGCAGGTTTTTCTCCTTCCTGCCTTTTTCGGGTCAGATGGAATGACATCACATTAACACGGCTTAGCTGCCAAGTACACTTTCAAAATGGCAGCCTCCAAAGTCGCTTCTTTCGAGACGAATTCTTCAGTATAGCAGGCACTTCAGAGGCTGAACCTTTGGTGAGTGAAAAAGCTGAGTGTTTTCTTACTATAGGCAAAGGCAAAATTTAGATACTAAACTTTTTGCAGTGACCTTCTCCTTTAATATCTTTATGTTATTGAATATCACTTCACAAAAAGTACTCCATTTCTAAAGATGGAAAAATCCTTTCTTTTCTTTTTCTTTAAACTTTCTTTTCCTCCTTTTTTCTTTGAAAACATCACCCTTGTCTTGAGTAAATACATGGATTTTAAGTTGGATTTCGAGCAGAATTGCACTCAAGTTGATAGTTTATAGTACTTATCTGTTCTTTGTAGACATGCAATGTATTTAGATCTACTACTACATGATTGTGTAAATTCAGTAAATTATATTAAACAAATCACTGCAATTCATCACTGACACTTACCTTCCATGTTTCTTGTGAGCTACCTCAAATCCTCTGATTTCACCTGGGACAGCTACTGATAAACCACCCTACCATAAAAAAAAAATTCTTAATTCTGCCCAAAGTTCTGGCTTGTACTGTCCGTAGCTCTTGGTGCTTAATTAATTCAGGTGAGGAGTATTGTTACAAGTATATTTCTCCTGGATGTGACATTAGATCATAGCAGGTTATGCCCCAGCAAATGTTCTGTCCTACTGTTGCCTGAGCAACTCGCTACTTTCAGAGGGCTCTCTACTTTCAGGGGTTCGCTACTTTCGGGATATATTAGCAGTCCAAAATTTTTTTAAGTTACTCTTGCAGGGGGCTACTTTCAAGGGATTGTTACTTTCGGAAGTTTAAAGTTACTGCACATTAAGTAACATTGTGACATCAGATGAGTGTTTGTGTAAAGTGTTTTCCTGGACTTTTTTCTTCCTGGGTACAAATATAAAATTTCCACAACCAACAACTCAAAACATTTGCGATGTTAAATGTTAAATTAAGATAAAGAAATTATTATTATAATTACAATAAATATGTTTTTCAAGCAAATGACTAAGCATTTGAGGAAAAGGCTAGGATTGACAATTCCAAGAGCATTGTGAAACCTGTTTGATTTACACAGCAAAGTCAATATAATTTACAATGTAGTCTAGATGTAGTGCTCAGAGAATGTAGAGTTTTGAATTCTCACCCATCTTGCAAGCGATTTATTGCCACGAAACATATCTCTAGTGGCAGCTAAGGGAGCAACTTCTCTGAAGTCAATCACCTCAGCTACTTCTTCATCTTTTTGGGAAGCTACAGTCAGCATGAAACCACCACTGTGAACAAAATAACCAGACATAATTCAATGAACAGCCAAAATAGATAAACCTTCAAACAAACTGCCCGAGTGTGGCCAANCAAGATGTAGGGCTTTCTAACAAGAAAACCAAACATTAGATTTTTAACCTTTAAAAGCTCTTCAAGACCTGTGCTGGCCGTGCTTCAGATTTCAAAAAGTACTGCCTGGCTGAAGCTTACTAGAGGTGGACCCTACACATAAACATGACAAACCAATTTGAAACAAGTACCTGTATGATGACTGCCTGTGAAGACATCAATGATAAGAGCAGTTGTTACCGCAATACCAAAAATGAAGCAGGCTACTACGATCATACGTATCTCCCGTTGTCTGTTGCGCTTTTTGCCCAAGCTGCTTCCACTGCTTAGAGGCCCAGTCTAAAGAACATTTTTTAAGAATTAATTAATTTGAAGGTCTCATTTCATATTTGATTGCAAAGTTATTGGCGAGGAAAACTTTTCACATGGATAGTACTACTTCTACTATCCATGCTATCAGTGAGAGTGTTTCAGAGAATTTGAAAGCAGGAGATGTCTGTGTACTGTAGAAAGAGTTTAAAAGTTCAATAGATCTAGGGTCTATTTAAAGTGGGTTGTACATTCCGCATACCATGCCATCAAAGTTTGTTTATTCGAAACTGCAGAACGCTTTCTTTTCCTCACCCTACTAGTAGGACAATTATCGTGATCATAAACGATCTTTCAACCATACATAACAAATTCTTTATGATATGTTAGCTTAAGAATTGTATTTCTCCTCATAAAGACCACAACGAGATCTTCAGAACAGAGCAAATTGCTTCTTACTCCAGTCACTAACCAGCACACAAAAAGGTTTTGACATCTAAAATGCTGTTAACAAAGTAACATACAGGTTGCTCAAGATGTGCGAATGACCGCCACAAAAAGACAAAAAAAGGTACATGTAAAGTTATGATTTACCACAACTGCGAGCTAATTTATTAACCGTAAACTTCCAGAACTGTACATGTGAATACCACCAAACAAATTTAACCAATGCATTTTAATTAGCCATTATGCAAAAAAAGTTTACAAATGGAGGAAAACTCAGAACTCTCCCAGCCACATACATGTATCACTAACTGGCAACTCACTGCTGAACATGAAAAAAAAAATCATAATTGCTACTTAGCAAATGGCATAATTTGAACAGGAAAATTATCCCAAGACTCTTGATTTCAAAGGTATTGGGAACATTTAATCGTGAAACAACACTTTTACAAATCGCTTGGAAAACAATATGGTCTACTGTACATCTTGAACCACTCAACTCTGAGCCAATCAGAACTCATTTGAGTGTTCTTCATTACTTACGACTCATGCGAGTGCTGCTTTTGCTCTTTAAAAGCAAAACAAACTCGCTTTTGACTGCACTTTTCAATGTTATAGTTTTAAAAAGAACATTGCTATAGATCTTGATCATGACTAATAAATATTCATAACAAAATTGGGACTACAGAAAAAGTCCAGATAATCAAGAAATCCTCATAATCAAGGTATGGATAATCAAGGTTTGACTGTTTAATCAAACCACCTTGTCCTGAAAAAACGGGTCTCTACATGCACATATCACAGACAGGTGTATTTGTTCCCAAAAAAATCAAACGTTTTTCATATACTGGAACCTCTAACTCATTCCTGTGGACACCTTTGTCCATAATATAGACACTCACCTCTACCTTTTTGGTGTCCACATGATGTGGTTTGACTTTTAGTTGCATAGCCTTTGTTACTTTACAATAAAAACTTGTGTGTAAGAACCTAGTGGTTTAAGAACCTGCTGGCAGAAATTTGCCATTTTAAAACCCGAAAATATAAGAACCTGTTTAGCCAACCAAGATCAAGCAGGTTCTTATAGTATGTGCGTTACGGTTAAGCTTAAATACAATGAACTCTTGCATATTGTTATAGAGGCAACACTACACCATATTAATCCTGTAATCAATTGTGCTAGGCTTGTCATAATATAGTTGCGGGAAAATATTGTATATTTAGGACGAAACGCAAACTTATTCATTTCTCTGGTAATCAACATCTATATCTCCGACTCCTTCAGAGAAATCAAGGACGTACGTAATAAGAGACTTCCCCTTGGCCTAAATTGCGAATACGCGGGTTTTTATACTGTACCAGTTTCACGACTTGTAAGTACATTTATATACTTCCCGTGCATACATACAATGTACAATGGACACAGCCTAGCCATTAGCCTCTCCACAAAATCAAGGCCTGTACTGAAAAAATCTTGACTCAATTTTCAGAGCTGAAATTTTACGGTAGTTTAGCAAAGCAAGTTACCACCATACCTGCTCTACGCCATCATGCCTAATAAGACTCACTGTGTCCTCCGTAAAACTGTTCAGCTCTTGTGTCAATGCTTCAACGGTCATTGTTTTATCTCAGTCCACAATGGCAGGACCCTTTATTCACAGCAATGTTTTGATATCGGCGAATCACACTTAAAAATATGTCTGTTCCTTCGGTATAAACTGCAGTCTGGTTCCCAGACTCCTTTCACAACAATCAAAGCCACGTCACAAAACTTCTGCCCATCCTGGATATTGCACTAGCTTTCGCCTGCAGTACAGGCGGATTATATTAGCGGGCTCTAGCGCGATACACAAGCGCGCGCGAAGCGCGATGCGAGAACGATGCTGTAACAGTCATATAGTGGTTTGTTTGCGCACGCGGAGCTGATCTTTATGACCAAACTTTTAATTGCATACTAGACCCATACACATACTGTGGCAGTGACTACAGTAAATTCCATTTATCGGTCAAGATAGCAAATCGATAGCAGCACCGAGCAAATACAAGTGACTCGTGGAATATTCCATTTTATTAAAAACTTGATCACTGGATAATGCAATTCAAGAGTTTTCATTGGCTAAGTGCCATCATGGTATATATAGACAAAAGCCTCCATTTGGCCTGGACAAATGCTCAGATATTTGTCCGCGGATATTATCTGTCCCGTGTAGCGAATAGTTCGAGGAAAACTGCGAGCTTCGAGGAACAGATAACATTAATGTCCAAGGACAAATAAGTCAAATAACCGAGCATATAAGTGAGTCTGTTGCGTTGATTATTCCAAATATTGTCATGAAACCATCAGAAGGTGACTCAACGAAGAGCTCAAAAGAGAAGAATTCGATGGTGCGTGGGGCAAAAACTTCAAAGTCTAATATGTAAACTTAGATATATTTTTCTTTTTTTTTTTTCGCAAAAACAAAGGAAATGGTAGAGAAAGTAGCCTGTTCCAGGCGCTCGGTAGTTGGAGACGAGCAAAAAAAAAAGAGGGCAAGCGAGAGAAAAAACGCGGAAGGGCTAAGGCCTCCTTCTTTTTTTCTTGCCCTGTATTTTTTCGTTCGTCCCCAGCTACCGAGAGCCCAGAAACAGGCTATAGAGGAAGTGATCCAGTAGCCCGCGAACAGGCTTCCGGTGAGCTAGCCGAGTGCAAGCGGGCTAGCTTAGAGCGGTCTGCTGACGAGGGGACGCATGGGCGCCTCCCTCGCTCGGCCCCCCCTCCCACGCTTCGCCCGCGGATTCCGCCACCCGCTTCGCTCGCGGAATTCTTTATTTCGCGCTAAACGGCTCACTTCGCTCGCCGAATTTTTTTCCGCCCTCGTTGGGAGCCCGTTCGCAGGCTGGTAATCCAGGGATCACTGAACATTCAAGATCGCTCAATCGACACAAAGATTCTTCAGTGGCCACGATATTACTTGAGGCATGGCAACGGAGGCTGGAGGAACGAGATTGGAAGGCGTACATTCGACTTAACAAATTGACGTCAGTTTTTCCCGCGTCTGTCCTGTTATTGGTCATGAATTTTGTCATAACATTGTTTAAGTAACTGCGGATCCACGAGGCGTAGTAGCCAAGTGGATTCGCAGACTACTTCGATAATGTTATGATGAAATTCATAATAACAGGACAGACCCATGAAAAACTGACATCAATTTGTTTTTTGCAATAACAAATTGTCAACTTGTCCGCTCTCGCTAGTTGACACATTGCATAGATTATAAATTCATGTGTCTGTCCGCGTATAGACTCGATTTCCAGCCGTTTCGGGAGTGCGGTTGTTTAGGCGAAGGAACGCGGGCTCACAAAACGGCAGCCTAGGCGAGATGGGCGGGATGGGCGAGTTTGAAACAAAAAGGTTCGATAACAAATTAAGACGAATAGGAAATCGAGCAATTATTTCAGGTTTTAATGACAAAAATCTTGTTCCAGAATAATTTTCAGTATATCTCATTCCTTTTTGCATTTTCTAAAAGCTAAAGATATAAATAGTTGCCTGAAATAACACCAACAAGGCAACAACGATCTTTCTTCGTGTCTCCAGCCGCGTCCATGCGTAATAAAGCAGCTTTAAATTTAAGAGTGTGTTCATGAGAGAACCACTCCCTCGCATCGGCAGGTGGTGATACAGCTCAAATCACCGATTTCGCTCAAACTTGGCACAAATTTTGGGTTTGGCGAAATGATTGTGGCAAAAATGTAGGTCAAAATATTTTATTTCCTATAAGTTGGTGGGCCATTTGAATGTGTCAAATGGCCATTTCACATTAATTTATGCATATTTAACCAGCCATCTTTCGTTTAGTATTTCTACAACAACAAAACCCATATGAAAATGAAATTCACTGAATCATGTTCTACAACTATCAGTCTAAAATCACAGATATTCATTTGAACTGGGCAAATTAACTGAGTTTTGTAAACCTGCGAGCCAGCGAGCCATGCGAGCCAAGGGGCGAGCCATGCGAGCCACAGTACAAATGTTAAGAATTTTTATTTGTTACATTTATATTCGCATGAGAACAAGAACAAGAGCAACGGAACAAGATGAATAAGATCGAAATATTAAATTCTTGCAGCGACTACACAAACCGTCGCTAAGGACGTTTTTTGAATCAGCCAATCAGAGCAAAAACAAGAGCAACGGAACAAGATGAATAAGATCGTAATATTAAATTCTTGCAGCGACTACACAAACCGCCACCAAGACGTTTTTTGAATCGGCCAATCAGAAGGCGAGCAGAAAAAAATCATGAATAGCCACAAATTTTACTTCCGGTTAAAATGCCTCATAATGCATGGAAAGCCGATAAGGGTACCACAACCGTCATAATGAACGGAACAGATAGACTCAACGAGGGTCAAGTCCAACTTGATGATATACGTAACTACCGACCCTTAGACAAACCTATGGTTGACACCACGGCCAAAAAAGTTCATCGATTGATTCGATCACTACTTCAATAAGGCCACATAGACAAAATGACGGCTAAATCAGGCTCTCCCTTACGCCCGACCCTGCGCGAATACCAATGTTTCACACACTTATAAAGATTCAACCATAGGTTTGTCTAACGGTCTGTATGCTAATTAGAATCAAGAGCAATTAGTTGTAAAGTTTCAGTCCGTCTTTCAGCTATCAGTGAAAAACGCGTCATTTCTCAACGCACAGTGAAAATGTTTAGCCTATTTTAGTGGAATAGATTCTTCCCAAATGAAAATTCCAAGACAGAATTGCGTAAATTGTTTTCCGGTAAATGGTAAACAATGGGTCATTTCCGAGTTGGCTTTTGCCTCTGTGTCAAAACGAGTCTTCGTGCGCATGCGAAACCATTCGTATGAAAACGTCGTCCCCTAAAGGTTGATTTTCATCAGTGTAAATCAAACCTTTTCCATAGGAACTGTTTCGCACGGGGACTCGTTTTGAAGCAGAGGCACAAGCTAACTTGGAAATGGCCTATTAAACCGCTTTCTCTGATGCGACCCAAGTTTCTTTTTCGGCAACTGGTCATATCCCTTTTTCCTTCTGTCAACCTTGTTCCCAGGCTCTCTCTCTCTCCTCTGCCTTGTTGGGATATCCTTCTGTTTGTTCAGTTGAGTATCAGCAGCTCATTTAAGCTGATCGCGGGCTCAGCTCTTTGACTAAGTTACTTCAATTCAAACTGGTGGTATAAAAGCCATATATAGACAAGTTAAACACACTGCCCAGACCTGTGCACTCTGTTGAATAACCAACCAGTCAAGTAATGAATTATTAATAGTTGAAAATACTCTTGTGCCAAAACATTTGGCAAGTAAAAGGGGTTTTTAGCGTGAAACAAGTGTTTTTCGACATTAAGAGTGAACAAGTAAAAACATTACACTATGGTTTGCTTTTGATCCTGAGTTCGAGAAATGGCGTGAATGTTTCTGTGGCTGTCTTCATGTAGCTAATCAATGCAAGAAGGACATCATGTTCCCGACAAGACTTGAACATTTGTTGTTATTTGGATGTTTAGTTCCGATTTTCATTTCACATGGAATAACTTCTACTTTCCCAAGGATGGAAAAACCAAATAGAATTTCAGACTTCGGTGAAAACAAGAAATATATGAAAATACATGGGATTAACGAAAGCAAAACCCACGAGAATCAAGCTGTTATGTCAAGTGGCCACGCCGGAGAAAAACATAATACAATGACATTAACACATCGATCTGGTTTTAAGAAATTGTCCCGGGATGAAATTATGCACGCAGGATTTCACAACAGAAGACTAAGACAAGAGCTACGAAAGAGACAAGTGAGTTAGTGACCAAAGTTTTAAAAACTGATATTACAACTTTGTTTCGTGTTACTATGGCGCTGCAAGGGTAGGGAGCCGCTATATGGTTCCGGGTTTGGGCGGGGGAAGTCAATTTGTGGAGTTATATTCATTGCGTCAGTCAATTTCAAAATTCAAACCTTAATCATATTCGACTCTCTCTAAGCAGAACAATAATGAACATTGTATGGCCATTTAATCGTGTGAAAAGCTATTTCTGCTGTATTTAGGGCTGTTCTGACTTTCATGAGCTAAAGAAAAGTACTTTGATGAACAAGTCCTAGGTTTTTTTCTTCCTTCTGTTTCCGTTTACGCGCGTAATTCGCGTTACTTTTTCATCCAAAATTTCATTGAAACTATGGAGAAGTTTGAAATTGGTCATAGCTGATAGTGCTTGACGGTCAGAACGCCTCTTTCTTTTCAATGGAGAGTTAATGAGTGATGCCGGCACTTAGTAGTCAGCGTATGTTTGCAGATGATAGCCCCGGGCTACTATCAAGCCGAATGCTCTGAGAAGAAACCCTGCAAGGAAGGAATGTATTGTAACGTGCTTTACTGCGAGAAATGCCACAAACTTAATGTAGCTTGCTCTGGTAAGGATCAGTGTTGTAAAGGGCTCATCTGCGGTTTTGGAAGGTGCGAGAAAAAGTCTAAAGGAGACCCAGGTAAGAAGAGTAAATCTTTGTATAAGAGTCTCTCTTTGAGCTGAGGCTCAAAAAGATTCTTTTGTTATCAGTGTTGAACGCCGATCAATCAATCAATCAATCAATCAATCAATCAATCAATCAAGCAAGCAAGCAAGCAGGCAAGCAAGCAAGCAAGCAAGCAAGCAATCAGTCAATCAATCATTTAGACAAGTATGCCAAAAGCTCTATGAACTAAAAGCTCGTTCAAAATACGTACTTGCTAACTAAAGATAACTGAAAAGAATGTAAGAAGAGAAACCTATTTATAAAATGAGATAATAAAAAAACAAAGAGTTTTACCGATTATCTTGACGGTGTCGCGTCTTTGCGTGACTTGTGCATCACTGTGCTGAACGAGGCTTGAAGGTACGTCTGTACATAAGAGCACCGGTTCTACTGAATAATAGTCTGTATACGGAGATCTTGGACGAACCTGAATCACACGCACGCAGGAAAAAGGAACAGGTCACCCAGAATTATTGATAATAAGCAAAATTCCATGTTTAAGGTTTTAAGTTTTTGCTCTTCTGAGGAATGGGTGGTAGCCTCACGATAGCTAGTCTGTTAGTTTGTCCGCCGGAGCTGTCGGGCAACCAACAGTTTATTATTTGTATCCTGTATGTTCGTCACATGTGCAGGGCTTGTTATATTGCCATAACCCTGCTTTCTGCTGACTTGCGTGAATGCAGAAAAATACTACTAAGGCGCCCTTAAGGAGAGACTATTATGCAACTAATCCGGCAAATGTTCTGTTGATTACAGGGACATTTTGCGAGAAAGATACCGATTGTAAAGACGCGTGCTGTGTATTGGAACCAACTATCAACTCCCATTTGCCAATATGCAAACCTACCCTGGACGAGTACCACCAGTGCGCGGCGATTTTATACCGTAAGATCTGGGTAGGAGAGAAGCCTGACTGTGGACCGTGTAAGGCTGGGCTCGAGTGCGTCCAAAAAGGGTTGGTCAAGGCTTTGACATTTTGTTCGTCCGTGATTTAAAAACGCATATATTTCCCCTTACATTTACCCACTCAATAGGATACTGACAACGGGCATTTCTCTGTGACCCAAGTGACACGTAAATCCTCGAATTATTAGCGCCCAAGGCGCTTATTTCAAATTCAGGAGAAGACAGGGGGCGCTTATTCGAGGGGGACGGGGGCGCTAATTCGAGGATATACGGTGAGGGGTTTCTATACGCATTGCAATTTTATTTAAGTTACAAACTATTCAAACAATACCGCGTCTCGACCTAAACTTTTTTTCTTTTGAGGATATGCATTTTTCCAAAATAGGATACAACGTTTCGCAAAGTTTAAGAAATCTCTGGAGAGGTCCACAGCCACCCTAAATTTCATGGAAAATTTAGGTTGGCGGCATGCTTATCGAAAAAAAATATTTATCACAACTTCATAACAAAAAGTGGGGTCAGTGAGCTCTTTTTTAAGCTACAGGCTATGAGTTCCTTTAACAGGTTGTGCTGTTGTCATGGTAACCTATTATGCCATGATGATGGCGACAACCAATTCATCAATCATTGGTAATCCGTGTAATATTAGTACTGTAGTGTACATCGCTTGATAAGGAGTGGTACTATTTGACCGCCAAAGTATAACTGCTGGAGAGTGATTGAAACTTTTGCCAGCCACCGTAAGCTAAAGGTGTGTTTGGTGTGATTTTTTATAATTTTTGTTTTATTCCACAGTGTTTTTGGAAGCCACGAGGTGTGTATGAAGCCGGAGTAGCAGAAATGGATGATGTCTCGCAAAGCTGACGGTTTTCCGCTGCCTTCAGCCATCTAGAACAAATAATCTCGCACTGGACCAAAACCGAATTTAATATGTCATTTCCATAGTGAACAAAAATGAGTAAAGACATTTTGCATTAACTGGGAACTTCTCCTGTCGCTGATCTTTTGTTCAAACAATATTCTGAACGGATTCATGACCCAACTCATTCTTTCAAATGGCCAGTTCCCTCTATGAGACGTCCCTACAGGGAATCATACTTGTTGTATTCATCATCTAGTACTCGGGATTTTTGTTTTAATGAATACGACTACGGTGCCATGATTGTAGTAATAAGCTGTCAAAGCATTCCAAAGATATATGTTATTTGCCGGCTGGAGGCCCGTATAGTGAGAAAAAGGTGACCGAGGTCTTGAAAATGCTGTCCGAAGCCGCAGGCCGAGGTGGAATTTTTCATAAAGTAGTCAGAGCTATGACTGTGGTACAACAAGTTTATGAAATCGACTACCTCATAAGCTAAACGTTGTAGTTTGTTTGGTAACAATATTTCCCATGCACGGTGGAGTGCATGGTAACGGTGAATATATTATACAGTCGAACCTGTGTATAACAGTCCTGTATTAAGCGGCCACCCCATGTTAAGCGGCCAGTTTTCAAAGTCCCGAGTTTTCGCTCATACCAACGCTGTATTTGTTACCTGTATTAGGCGCCCACCTCTATTAAGCGGCCGCGGCCACCCTGTAGCAGTCCTGTTTGTCTTTCTTTGTTATTTTTACCTGTATTTTAATACAGGTAAAAAAAGCGGCCACACTTGAAAGGAAACTAAGCTACCTGTCATTTTATGCAGTATTTTATTGTGTTTAAAATATGACCCATCATAACTATAAAAAAATAACATGTACAAAGCTACTTTAAGCTGGTTAGCGATTTAGTATCGTTAACGCCTTCCAGATGTCTTCAATGTTGTGATGTACAGTACCATATCACGAACGCAAAAAAGAAAAACAAGTGTTGTTTAATTAGCTTGTTCTTCAGCCATGTGATGGAGAATGAATCGCCTTCAAACGTATACTAGCAACGAATTTCCAGGCCATAACCTCCACCTCTGTTAACTCGCTTGCCCTTTACCGTAACTTTCCCGTGGTTTGTTGGCCGCTTCAAAAATTTAGCTGGACCACGCCTAGTGAGTAGTTTCGGTGATTCTGTATTAAGCGGCCACCTGTATTAAGCGTCTAGTTCCTCAAGTCTCGAGGGTGGCCGTTATATGAAGGTTTGACTGTATATTGAACCAGCCAGCTTTTAAACTTAAAAGCTTATAATTAGGTTTTAAAAACAGGATTCCACTTCGCTTCTTCGAGTACACTGTCAAACGCTTTCTTAAAATCTATGAAAGCTACACCAACGAGTTTTGCGTCGTCGGCCGGTTTTCAAGCTAGTTTCAGCTAAGCCCGGCATAGTCAATCGAACCCGGAACTGTATTTCAATCGAACTCAATCAAACTAAATCGAACTCAATTCATGGATTGAGTTCGATTGAGTGCGGCAATCGAACCAAATCGAACACAAACAAAAATAATTGAACAATCAAACTTTTGATTCCTGAACTCTTGATTTTTTTGTAAAACTGGTGTTGAAAATCAATAACAAGTTTTTCGATGCTCGAGTTACTTCAGTATAACACGTGCTTTTCGTGCTTTCGAGACCACATAACACGATCTTTGTTCAAGCGAATTTAATTATTCACCGAACACAATCGAAAGCAATCCATTAGATTGCGTTCGGATGCCGAACCTAAACATAATTTAATGGTTTGATAATGAGGTTCAATTCGGTTCCATTTGTCCGATTGAGTTCGATTGGTTCGGAAATCGAACTCAACAAAGTTCGGTGTTCGATTTGGTTCGATTGCCGAACTTTGTCGAGCCAAATCCACGGATTAAGTTAGACTGGGTTCGATTGAGTTCGATTTCCGAAAGTTGGATTGGCCATGCCGGAAGTTAAGTGAACTAACATGACAGTAAATCAGTAGATCACTACGCTTTCAGATAGGTCCGTTGGTAACAAGTAACAAGTTGATTGTTCACGAAAACATGTTCAACCATTAAATCGGCGATGCTAGGTTCATGCAGATTTTACTGCGGACGCTCAACCGGGAAATTGGACTATCGTATAACCACCTTTTTCGACTACCTGGCTGATTTCCAATCGCTGTACACTAGCCCTTCCTTTGTGCTTCGCATGTAAAGATCATTCAGTGCGGCAACTAACGCAGATCCCATGAGCTTGAGTAATTTCGCTGATATTATGTTCGGGCCTGTGGCTTCCCAGTTCGGCTATTGCCTTGTGGATCCACAGCTACTGTGACAATGTTATGACGAAATTCATTGTCAATAACAGGACAGACGCATCCGCATGAAAGACGGACGTCAATTTGTTTTCACGATAACAAATTGTCAAACGGTCCGCTCACGCTCGTTGACGCATCCAACTAATTATAAAGTGATTTTTTTGTCCGCTTATTGACAATGAAAATTAGCCAATGAGCGCGCGAGAATTTGTGCAGTTATCGCAAAATTTCGAGTAGACGCCGCGCCCGCTCGGCCAAGTCTGGCCCCGGGTGGGCCGTTCAACACCCTCTTGCCCAGGGTCCTCTCGGCGTGGCTGTACAAGATGGCGCCGGTAGCTCAGCTCTGACATTTCTCGGTTTCTGTTCTCTATGGAACCTCGACGTTTTGCAATTTGTTTAGTACTTGGTATTTCTTTTTTCCTTGCTTCTGTAGCCGTCTATTTGCTGACGTCGGAGGCGTATTGGCGACGAAAGGTAACGTATACATTTTTTTAGTTTATGTCTACTAAAAGCAGTCAAAGACGTCCAAAAGCTTCGAGTTCCCGTGTGATTGCTGTCAGACCAGCTGTCACACGGCCATTTAAACTGAATGCTTCATATAGTAAGAAAAACGAAGGAAAAATGCATCAATGATACGTTTTTGTTCTCTTGGTAGAAACTTTGTACAAACATTTACTTAAAAACCTTGTAGACATGTCTTCACGAAATGTGTACGAGTTTTCGCACGAACAGAAAGCTGTAGTTTGGCTGCGTGTGGTGTACCCTCTTCTCTTCGACCGAAACCAATGCTGCTTTCTGTTGAATAAATCAAAAAAGGAAATGAGTTTCACTTCGCTGGCCTAGATTTCTGTGCGCAAACTATGTAACTTAAACCCAACGAAAGTGTTTACATAGGAAATGAGTTCAACTCCCACAGGGTTGCTTTGGTACACTAACATGTCTTCCGTTTCATTGTTTCGGAAGTGAAAATGCCCTGTAGCTCTTACCCCAAAGCCATGGCGATTCAAAGTCGTGTTCGTAAACAAAATAATTGTCCTAGTTTTGGTACTAAAAGCACGTCATCTTGCATACCAGCGGAACAAACATGGTTGGTGACGATTTACATGGTCAGTATATAACACGAAGTGGGGACTGCGGACTGTGGACTGCAGACTACGGACTACGGACTGGGTATAAAACACAGACTTATGTATAAAACGCAGACTGAGCAATACGGACTGGGCATAAAACGTGCACGGACTCGGGTATAAAATGGGGACTGCAGACTAAATGCGGCCCTCCAACTGCAGTCTATGATTTTTACAGACTGGTCGTAACTAATATTACACAATACATGTATAAACGAGAACAAACCCTCTCGTATGCACATGCTTTGCGATCAATTCATTTGCTTTTGCCCCTGCTGAAGGGGCAATTTCATGCCTACCTAATTTCAATTTCACGCAGACCAATTTCACGCCTACATAACAGCTCAGGCACAAAATGCTTTCCCTAGAATTTTTTTTTTTTTGTAACATACCAAGCCTACCGAAACTCGAACGCACTCTTTAATCTACGATTGCTACTAGTTATATTATTATAGGGAACTTGCTTGCAACAAATTTTGGGAATCTAAATGTTGAAAATTTATATAGTATTTATATCTATTTCAAAAAAATTAGGATTCATAAATTATTTTATGTATTTCAGAATGAAGATGATAATGATGATGAAGAAACATTGAACTTTCCATTTTTGAGAGATGTTCACTCCATAGAGTTTATTAAGAACTCCAAAGTCATGTTCATAATGAGAGGTTTACCAGGAAGTGGAAAATCAGTAATAGCTCGGCAAATCAAGCAAGTGTATGGTGACCTGGCTGTCATATGTTCGGCTGATGATTTTCGAGTAAATGATCAAGGAGAATATGTTTGGAGATCAGAGGAATATGAGACCACACACATGAAGTGTAGAGATAAAGCAAGACAGTCGTGTGAACATGGAATACCAGTTGTCGTTATAGGTGGGCTAATGATTCAATTCAATTTTAATCAATTTACCAGTATTTACACTTATTTTAGTTACTTAATGTTCAGTCAATTACAGTGTGACTACTCCGATCAATACCACTTAAGCGAATTCTTTGCAAATTGGCCACTGGCATTTTAAAAGTTTTGAAATAGTTACAAAAATCTGTTGCCTTTGTAATATACAGTTGAATACATGGTTGGATAATTTGTCGGAAAACTGTTGATAGCCTCCACGGTTTTTATTTGTTAAATTTGAAGAAAATTTTGTCAGCCAACCTGTAGCAGAAATATAAAATCAGAAAACAAAAGAAATGTAAAATTTACAAAGTTAACATGATTTTCTAATTCTTACATTACAGATAACACAAATATCGATAAGGGGATGCTGTACAATTATGTCAGTATAGCTCATGATGCTTGCTACTGTGTGGTGTTAGTGGAACCAAGAACCAGCTGGAAATACAGCATTACTGATTGTGCACGAAAGAACCACCATAAAGTAACAGAGGATATTCTCCGTGAACAACTGTCAAAGTTTCAACAAATAAATGCCGTTTATTATGGATGGTTTCCTTCAGAGGAGAACTCGAGGACTTTAAGAGACAGCTTGCTTAGAATGTTGAGTGATTGCTCAGAAAAAATCCCGTCATTCAAAGATTGCCTTGTTAAAGACAATCATGAAGATGAACAAGGCAAGTTAACAATTATTATTTGATTTTCTGCAATATTACACTTTTGTTGCATGGAATACATTCTGTAATTTGAACATGAATTGTCCTCAGTAATGCTAATCAAGCTATTATTTACTAAAATAAACAATCTGAGTTGTAGTAATAGAATATTACTGCAATAATAATATTAATCACTAGTAGAATTCTCCTAGTATACTAATGCAAATGCTGCAATCTGATTGGCGAAGCTACTCGTATATCGTAATTTCTGGCAGATTACCCGCGGGCAATGCGTTAATTTTTCAGTAAACTACCGTTGCTGTGGGTAATAGGGTGGTGTGGGTTATCTGATAATTTTTTAATCTTCCCGTAAGTATTTAACAGTAATTATTATAGTACTGACAGAAGATAAAACAAAGATAAGAGTCATTAAATAT